TAAATAGTTGAGAGATGTACATTACGTAGGATCAAAAAACAACAAGCAATCACTTGTATTCTTGCATTAGACCTCGTTGTTTGCAACCATTGCTTACAAACATTAATCAATTAATAGTTTTTGCTTCTAAAACTTATTAATTGAATATACAAACGTCTAAAATACCAAAATCTGTCGATCTTTAAAATATAACTAGTCACATAAACATAATTATTTGGTCGGTGGCGAAAAGATGAAGGCGAAATGAAATATGGATAAGATATTCAGTAGTATCAGTAAATGTTGTTTTTATTTATTAGAAAAGACGTGCAACTATCATATGACAAATGATGATTACTAATAAGTATGACTTATTAGAGGATAATCATACATCTTATTTTTTCCTCAACTGTCGATGTACACAAAAATAAAATAATTGTCACATTCTAACTAGGCAAGTACCGCAATGCACAGAATAAATGGTATAATATAAATAATATAGACAGTACAGTATGAATGGTATAGAATAAATAGTATAGTATGGGAAAAGTTAAGAAGAATGTACAATGTCATGAATGCAGGTTGATAGATATCTAGATAATTTTTCGTCAACGTGCATCCTGTAAATTCTCTCTACCTCTGTGTATACCATTTTTGATTATCGCTACCGTCTAAAGTTCAACCAATTATTCGTTTGGACTAGCAAGGTAAACCTAGAGTTTGAAGCGGAGAATAATCCTAACTTCTATTGGTCTAGAGTCTGAACACTTCTTTCAAGCGTGTCTTCTGTTTGATAATAGAATACAACAAGCAATAGTTCAATAGTATATCTTATGCCAATCAACTCACAATAACGTAGAGTAATTTCCTGATCGCAAATGTATATGAAGATGAAATTACAACATAGGAATAACTACACCGAAAGTGGAAGATATCGGAGGAGGTGAATGATTAAGTAAACATAATTAGGAAATAGCAAAGGATACAACAGCAGTTAATCGATCCAGTGGCAGCTTACAATCATGAGAATGTAGAAATACAATAACATATTTATCTATTAACTATGCAATGAAAATATCAATAATAACCCATAAATTTGTCCCAAAAACTACATCATCAGTATTCATCCTTTCACAACACATACAGTAGAAGTAATAACAGGGGAAATAAGAGAAAAAATAAATAAGTTGTAACATAACATCATTTGAGCTAAAGTAATAAACCAAACTGTGTATTTTTTATGTGGCAATTTGCTTATACTACTTCAATATCAGCTCATTTATATGAATTGGATTTGTCTAAATCATTTTATAAGATAGATTAAAGTAATATTCGATTTTAATTAAATAAAAACGAGAATAATAGGATAATTAATTACATTCTCATTGAAAAAAACTTCTTTATAAATCACTTCTTCTAGTACTTAAACATTTTATTAAGTAGTAAGTTAAGAAAAAGACTATTTATGGGAGATCGAGATTATATTTATTTTTCAACAGAGACCAGTCTACTTTTGTGTAAAACAGATGACAAATGAACTATGAAGGAGGAAATTTGTTGACATAGAAAAGACCCACTCTATGTAGGTAGATAAACCAACTATCTATTTTCCTTAAGAGGAAAGGCTATAAATCAAATATCCAAATGGGACCTATTTACTACAACCCAAATTTCAAAGCTGAATAGCACCAGTCACCTGGGATCTATGTGAATAACAACAAATATTATTGTAATTACTAGGTGCGCTTACTGAACATTTGTAGGGTGCAGTTTAAAGAAGTACATCTCGAGTACAGATGTATCGGAATATTTTGGATTTCAATCAACATTAGGAGCTAAACTTTGATGCAAATAATTACTTGTTTTTACCTGATCCTAACATTCTCAGTCCTGATATCGATCCAATCACTTTCATAGTTGGGCTACACTTTTTACATGAATTACTGTACATGGGATACCAAAGTTTCCTGGGGATCTACTGAAAATGTTTCCATATAATCTTAAGATAATTGTCTGTGAATTAACTAAATCGTATACGTTTGTTTTTTCCTTCAACATAATAATCCTTTTAGTAGAAACTTATATAGCTATTCATTTGAAAACAAAAACTATGATTATTAACACAAACTTTTTAATCACAAGTATCCAAAAGAAGCACAAACATGTTAAGCTAGCTATAGTCGGTTACCAGACATTTCAGATAAATTAGTGACCGGTTAATAGTGCATACGACTAAGCGAATGAATGAACCAAGTTGTAGAGGCAAGTGATATTCCAGTTAAACAAGAACCATCACCCACAGTTCGAAGTTGTGAAAACCTTCGGTGATTAGGAAGTTTCAAAATCGGACAAAGAATATAAACAATGGTGTTGATTCAGGTCAATGGTAAACTTTGGATTGAGACAAAAAGTATCAAACTAGATTATTCCGCACTACAATAATTCAATGCAATTATTAAATTAACGTAAAAATGATTTTGAAAAAAGTACATTAAACCATTAATTTGGAATTTAGTTGCCATTCTACAAAAGGATTTTTCAGATGTCCTTAGTTTAAATGATGCGGTTCTTCAGATTAAAAAGAGATGTTGTTATAAATTTTGCCCAGTTAACTATCACATGAGAAAATTGCCAATCAGAACACGACTTATACAATCTTGATACTGTACCAAAACGATGACACGTCAACCAGTACGAGCAGTCAAGAGTCAACTCTGAGTCCTGATTAGTCCTTCCGCCTAGCACGATCTGTTTGAGTCCAGAATACAGCTTCTACTGCATGAATCATATATTTCAGACATACTGGGTTTACATACAAGCTAATCAAATCATATCATACCACAAAATAGAAAATAACAATTATACAAGAGCAAACCGAAAAGTGGGTGTGAATGTTAGAGGCTGTGACTAAGAGATTGAGAATAACTTGAGAATAGTAAATCGTATAGCAGTAGCCAATAGGTCAAATGAAAGTTCATGATAAAGGGAATATGAATATAATCTAATTATTTAATAGCTATCCAATATGAATATACGTAGTAATAGTCCATAAATAAGTTCGAGCAACTACCATTCATTAATTCTTCGTCAGGATATAACAGATGTGTTTGTCGATCTCCCCAAATCAATCAACAATGCTATCTCTATTCGACAGTTATGACCAAGGTGTTCTGCAACAGTTATGGAGACATTTCAAGTTTCTGAGAGTTATCGAATAGAAGTAAAAGTTCACAAATTGAAATCACAGGTTACTTCTATGAATTCAGTTCATCAGGGGTATCAAATGATCAGTTGATCGGACAGTATTCGAATCTGATTTAGTGTTCTGCACGGTTGCATTTTCTTTTAAGCACGTCAACAGGACCTGATTAAATCATATTTCGAATAAGACCACTTTGGAACTCGCTGACTGGTTCATCTTCAATCGATCAGCGTTAGTGAATGAGCTGAGAAGACTATAGAAATTTTCATACAGTGATACTTTCTCATTATATTAACATAACTTGCTATCCGCTCTGAAATGTTTATACTTGTCTAAATCGTGTTTCGATTCGAAAATCAGTTGAGTGAAAAAAGTATCCAAGAACACTAGGCCGAAGAAAACTTAATACAACGAATTATTGACTTCTACCAATGACAAATCATAAAGTGACACTACTCAGTATGACTACTACTTAGACTGTAATTACTTATTGGACATAAGAGTAAATCTACAAGAGATCAATTTTAAAGATAAATGTCACTATCATTAATCTACAGATGTCGAACTCTCTCCTTTAAAGGTATACTTTATACTATAATTTACAAAACCAGTAAGCTTCTTACATGTTCACCTATGCAAAATTATGTATTTCCGAAGTACAACATAAGACAGTCTTCCAATGACTTCCTTCGTATTGATAACAAATTTGCATTTAATGTAATTACGGATAAATTTGAGTCTTAAGTAAAAAATGGTCACTAGCATCAAAAAACAGACCATATACTTTCTTTGCTGAACAAGTGGATTTGTGTATATACACCGTGAACTGATACACTGTAATATTCATCCACTCAGCTAAAACTGTATAACTAAACATCAGATAAAACTAAGTCGGCAAATAAGGGTTTGTAGTTGATTATGCAGTGCAACATTATCAATGTAATGGTAACCTATTGTTATATTTTCAATTGAACATTTTTGAAGGTTACAATTAGCTGTAAAAAAGTCCAGTTACTTCACCTTCAAATGAACTGAACTATTTAGGAATACAGATACAACTCGATCGTATGTACTTATCATCTACATTAGCAATGCCTTGAGTAGATCTGAAATGAATTCACAATGTACTTTGGAAAGTACTTTTGTATAAAACACTATGTTCTTCAGGATGGTTTGTCCAATATATACATTTATACTCACCTTATGACAGAAATTTGTAATGCAATAGGCTTTATTAAACTGTTAGATATCGAAGCGTACTATGCACTACTTAATTTTATCGCTTTTACTATTGTGTCTAAACATTTTTATACTAATTAGTTGCCAAAAACAATTTCAAATAAGTAGCTTTTTGTGCTAATGTAAATTAACTTTGACACAAAAATAAGAAAGAAATCTTTACGTTGTGCTAAGGGCGATTCTGATGAAGACCAGTCAACTTGGAATGCATTCTAAAACTGGTTTTTTCCAGCCAACTAGTGGAAGGGGTCACTTAACAATTACAGTACTTAGTTCCCAGTTATTTGGTTGCAGGTCCTAATCCCGCTACAGCTACTTCGGTTCCTGGTGAGTGACCCGGTACTACAGCTTCAAAGGAACACATAATAGTAATAAATAAATTAGGCAATAATACTTAGATATGTGCATTTTTGTCACAATCTGGTTCAAAAAGAGAAGTTTTAGTCATGACAAGTGAGTTATATTGGTTGAATCAGACGAAAACACCAGTCAGATTAATGTGAAACTCCACTTGAGATAAAAAAAATAAAACGAAAAAAAAACAGATTCTGTTTCTAAAAAATATAAAAAATCAGGTTATTTATTTTATCAGTCTTGCTGGATTAAACAACTCAATACCGGGTTGTTGTAATAAATCATCTTGGGCTTTTTTTTCATCCAGCTCCATTTGGTCGGTAACGTTTGGATTTGTGCTCTGTATCAAATTAGGATTATTTCTTAAAATGACAGCTGTTAAGAGGCGTCCAGATATAGGTCCAGTAAGAATTCCCCAACAAGAATTACCCGTGGCAATATAAACATTGGATAAACCAGGAATTTGACCAATAACAGGATAGCCATCACTCACTAGCGGCAAATAACAAGCAGATTCTGTTATCATCTCAGCATCTTTTAATGATGGGACTACACTAGTAACTATTTCTTTTAAACGATTACAACGCCAAGATTCAATTTCAACTTGGTCCTTTGAAGACGGTACAGGCTAGAAGGAATAATAATGAAGTTTAGAAATTTTATGAGATTATCACTAGTCATATTCAAATATGGGAAACCAATCGAAATGTATACTATGACAATGGAGATGTTCACAAACACAGATTTGTGTGAATGGCGTCTGTTGATGAAAATAAATGAGTTAACTTGCAAGGACTGGGAAATCTTGGCTTTGAACCTGAGGTCCACGAAAGCTCAAAAGTTTGCATACATTTTATTTGATGACATTGAAATTGAAAACAGTATTGAGAAGACGAAAAACGAATCCAACAGACTTTCTCCAATCTTTATTCGATCCTAGGTTTTTGGTCACGACTATGTGTATGAATATAACAATAACAGTTTATAAACCAAAAACACAATGATTAAACTCACTGCTCCATCACCAAGACCACATACATAGACTGTATTATCAGGTCTTGGATAAACTTCAGGCGAACAAGAGAACTCAGAATTTTGATAATCCATGAACAAACACTTAGCATCTATTGGAGACTTCTCTATTTTTGGTTTCAATATGATACTATGAGCTCGCCTTCCATGAAATTCATTAGGATTTAAACATCCTGATGGTAGCCAACTAACAGCTTCCTTTGACCATGGTCCTGTAGTAAGTATAACTAAACTGGCAGGGATAACTTTAGAATTTGAAGTAGATGATTCTATTACTCTAACACCACTAACTTTGGGAGCCGATGTATTCGATGTTGAAAATTCTAGTCCTATAACACGGGCAATTTTCAATTTTGTTCCCTGATTTGTTAAATATTGAGCACGCCGAAATAATTCATCTGTGAGCTTTTTGGGATGGACCTAATAGGAGTAATGTAATAAAATAAATAATACTCTCAGTTTTTTTATTTTTACATGACAAAACTCAAAACGATGAAATAAAAATGTAATCTTGACTTTAATAGGTGACTATTCATAGGGCATGTCTACTAAAGTTAAACACATAGGGAATGTAATAGTTATCATCAATGCTATTGAATGGTTGTTACACTATATCACAAAATGGTTGAAATCATAATTGTACTATAGGACGCCAACCCAGTGGTTTTCATAGTCGAGCATTAGCTGTGAAAAACAGAGGTCCTAAGTTCGACTCATGTCGCTGTGAACCCGCAGTGTTCAACAGTCCCATGGTTTTCAGTAGTACATCAACTGAGATCAATCTGTGGCGAAAACAACCTACTAATCTGAACAAAATCCCTCCAACTAAAAATCTTTGACATAAAATCACTGATGATTTTATCAAACGAAAGATCCATAATATTAACGTGAAGTTACAAAAAAGATAGCAATCACCAGAGTTTTTGAAAGTTCTCTATGCACAAAATGTCTTTTAAAATAAAAACAGAAATTTGCTTAACTAATAGAATTGTTAATAAAAGCTTTTAATCCAGAACTTTATTCGTTTACTTTATCTCAGATTTAGGACTGCATTTGTAGATGTGATGGATTATATGAATATTACTCAACTCTAAATTTTCATCACAATAAACCAGTTGTTTAGCTTAATCCCTGCAATCTTATAAAGAAAAACTAAAATGAACTCAGTAATCAACGATAAACAGTGTTTGACTGGACGATCTTTGAAATTAAATCAATCATAGACACTACTACATAATATCAATACCAGTCGTTGTTGGGAAGGTTCTATGGTAAAATAATTCTTCATGTGAGTCATATATCTGCACTTTGATCGTGCTCTACTGGGGGCACGAATTCGCCTTCATTTACTTAAATGTAAGAAAATCAAAACCGGAGGATCATTTATACTTCGGCTGAAAGATGTGTCGAGTTATTTAGGGGAGAATTATCCAAACATTGAGAACAGTCACAATTGGAATAATTTGGCATAAAGTCCAAAAAGCTATAAATACAAAGGCTATATCTATCAGCAACATAGACATAAGGTTAGGAAAAAACAGTGGATTTTAGAAGTTTCAATTGAAATAACAGTTGCTCGGAAAATAAGATACAAACGCAATGAAATAAACAGACAGAAACCCTACACAATGATCGCAAGCAATAGTCGACCGTTAAAACAAAGGAAGTAGAAAAGTCGGAGGTGATAGGTAGTGGGATATAGCTCTTTAGACTTATCAAATGAACAGGTATCAAAAGCCAAGCCTTTAATACGACTACTGAGGGAAAAGATGGCACCGTGGTCTGTATTCAGAACTGGTGTTGAGAACGATGAGTAAAATACTCTGAGGAATAGTTCAACTGGATTTCAGCTGTTATTTTTAGTTTAAAATTTAATCCTGTTACATTAAACCTTTACGGTACGCAAAAAAATAACACAAGTGAAACATCTACAGTAAAAAACGGATACCAATAAAAGTAAATGAACATTAGTGGTTTGAAACTAAATCAGTTTAGTGTTTAAGAGTTTATTTTTACAGGGCCTTTGGAAGTACCCTTACCAACAAAGAAGAAAATACAAAACAAACCTGTGCAGTAGTTGTAGAGTCGCCTATCAGTGAACAAACTTTTACTTTCGCATTGACCCAAGATGGTGAATTTGAAGAGCCGGAAGATTTCCCAGGAGATAATGATATAGAATACGTATTAACACGTCTATAATCACATGCACTACCGAACTCATCTGCTAATTTCATGTGCAAATCAAAACCGTTCTGGGCTAAAACATCCATTTCATTGTGAGAACACCAGTCCTTAGCAAGGAACCCCCCAGCTCGCCCAGATGCTGCAGATCCAAGTTGCTCTTTTTCAATTATTAGTGTGTCGATCTTCCTTTTTGATAGATAATAAGCGGTAGAAACACCCATGATACCACCTCCAACTATGATGACTGACATTATGGGGAGTTACATATGTACAGCCTAGATCTGAGTGACGGAATATGAACACAAATACACTGGATACATATATATCCTGAATCTGGTAGGCTTAGTAATCTCGTTCTTGTTTGAAAAATGAACTATATTAGGACTGATCTAATAATGAAATTCTTTGACTTTGTATTTCGTTCAATTATGGAACACTACAATAAATGTAAAATAATAATTATATGGACATTCCAAATTTAAGATGTAACTGATGGTCTTAATCGAAGAACCTTCCAGATTTTAAATTCTACATGGCTCGCTCCGTGAAAACTCGAGCAGTTTTCTCACTTTTGTGATTTTATTTGGGTTGCTAACTTCCTGTATGTTCTCTTTGTGATGGAAATTATGGGCTTGCTTCATTAAGTTTAACGAGCACTAGAGGTTTGTGTAGAAACCAATGAAAGATCTCTGGGTTAAAATCCGTACTATTACCTTGATAAAGTTTTGTTTGTTATGATGAGCCAGTCGGGCTAATATCAACAAAAACACTATTACTTTTCAGCTTTATGGTCCAACAAAAGTAGAGTAGAACAGCCAATGAGAAACCATTTTAAAAATTCATAAATCCTACAATCTTAGACTTTATAGGGAAACTATCTAGCTAACTTCTATTTCATGTGACACTGATATTTTATGACTGGTCTATGGTAATTTCGCGCTTAATATAAAAGCTGGTGTGCTTATCTACCGCAAGGACGAAGTATATGACAAATAGCTATAATTAATCTCAGGACCATATGCATATGAAACTTCACACTATTTAATCGACGGTCAGGAACTATAATTTGCTGGTCGCTATAACTGCATAACAAAGGGCTACTGTGACTGTGACATTTCCAAATTATGAACAATCATTACAAAGTGACAATACTTCTCAAAGGCAATTTTCAGTTATTCAACATGATGGAAATCCCAGCATTGAATAATTATCATGATATTCTTCCCCACCATGTTAATTTTCGAGTTTCGATCGTTCATCACGAATCAAGATTAGTGTTTTTACTTTAACTCAATCTGTTTCAGTTAAAGTATTAGGAGTCGCGTTTTTGAATCTGTAATCATATTGGGTACAATAGTTTTTCTGGTTATCGATCTCTATGAGCCAAACGGTTCATTTGTGCTTTCTAACCCAACTTTGCGTGTCAGTTTTAGCCTCTGGGTGGTTTTTTCCAAGTTATTTGAAAGTTTTCGAATGATGACATGATAGTGTGCAAAAGAAATTGTTAACACTCGAGTTGTCCTAACCTGTAAACAGCAATCAAACTTTTAGTTTCCTAGTTGTCCAATGTCAGACTCACTGAGGGGGTATCGCCACTTGGCAACTTATTCGTCAGAGTTAGGACGTCAAAGACTTCATCAGAGAGATCCGCCCTTATGCAGCATTCTCTACATAACGGGAGTGAAGGCGGTCTGCAGGAATGCTTATGCGCAGTCGGTGATAGATCGCTACACATTTTGTGGGACCATCTGTAGTTGTCACACAGCATACCATCTTGAACAAAGAGACAGTTTTCGACCCCATCGATAACGTTAGACGATGATTATAAACAGCATATGGATAAAACAGATAATTACAAAAATTCGGAAATTATAATGGTACTACAGTGAATATGAAAATGTACCAGAAATGTAACTTTAAAGTGATAGTTAAAGAAACGAAACGTCAAAAACGTTGGCAAACCAAACTCTGGGAAATATATGGGAAAACGGAGAATATGAATATACAGACACGAACCAATAAATAAATTTAAACTAGTGTAGACTGAAATAAAAGGCGTGTGAAAAGGTATTTCGCAAACTTAAATAACGCTAGAAGCGTTAAATGGTTTTAGATCTAGCTTCTGCTTTGATAAACGCACCAGAAATCTAATACTTTAAAACATGGAAAAATTCATTGTTTAAACAGATAACGCACTTATTGGATCCGAGCAACACTGCTGGCACAATCACACGCATTCAGGACAACTACACCTAAGATTTTCAAGTGCTAGATTTGTAAAAAGTTCTCGGTATCGTCCTTTGCACTCATCATACCCCACACCACTCCTTCAGTTAAGAAAACTCGAGTGTTAACAATTTCTTTTGCACACTATCATGTCATCATTCGAAAACTTTCAAATAACTTGGAAAAAACCACCCAGAGGCTAAAACTGACACGCAAAGTTGGGTTAGAAAGCACAAATGAACCGTTTGGCTCATAGAGATCGATAACCAGAAAAACTATTGTACCCAATATGATTACAGATGCAAAGGTTTCAGTTTGGAAAGGACAGGAGGCTTGATGGCTTGTGTTAGTACTGGCAATGGTGGTCTCTCAGTTGATTCAACATTCTTTTCAAAGAGCCTCAACCACGTGCTGAGGTAATGAATTCCACTTGATGATTCGATGGGAAAGTCGATGGTCAACTGACAAGTACTTTGTTCTGGACTTGTGAACATTTCTGGAGTGTCCTCGTAAATTCTCTGTTTTGGAAGACAAGAAAAATGAGGGCATATCAGGTGCAAATTTATCACTAAGCAATTTGAAAACTGTAATGAAGTCGCCTCTAGTTCTACGATGACAACGGGAATAGGTTTAGCTTGACCAGTCGAGCATCATACGGGAGCTTTGCTATTCCGGGAATCAGCTTAGTTGCTGTTCTCTGAACCTTTTCCAAAAGCTTACTGTCTTTTTTTAAGCACGGGCCAGTCACTTTTATGGAGTACTCAAGTTTATGACGTGCGAACAATGTATATATACATCACAACACACTTGGAAGTATTTATCGGCAACTGCCAAGTTTGAGACCATTCAGATAATTTCTTCAGGTCATTTTGGAGTTTTAAGCTATCACCCTTACATCGTATCGTTCTCTATATCTTGACATCGTCAGCATATAACAAGACCGATGATGATAGGAGACGAGGAAGATCATTTAGATACAAGAGGAATAGCACTGGCCCCCAAAAATGTACCCTGGGGCACTCCATTAAGCATAGTTCCCCAGCTAGATAAATTTGAGTTCACCCGTACTCTTTGTTGGCGCCCAACTAGGAAGTCTTTTATCCAAATCAATAGATTGCCTCCAATTCCGACATTTCCTAGCTTCTATAACAGCCGGTTGTGCGGGACTTTGTCAAAAGCTTTGCTGAAATCAATGTAGGCTACATCTACAGGTAACTTTTGGTCCTTAAGAGCGCACCAGCTTTCACGAGCGATTAACAAGTTAGTGAGACAAGAATAACATATTCTGAAACCATGCTGCTTCTCCGAAAGGATCTGGTTTTCATTGAGGTACCTAAACAGCTCCCTTTGAATAATCTTTTTCAAGATTTTAACAACCACACTAGTTAAGCTAACTGGTCGGTAATTCTCAGGTTTATGTCTCGTACCTGTTTTCAAGACAGGAATTACTATGGCGTTCTTCCTGTCTTTTAGTAAACGACCCTGCGTTACGGATAGATTAGAGCATATACTTAAAGGGTTCGCAACGCAGTTAGATAATTCCTTTAGTAGCCTAGGATGCAATTCATCGGGTCCCGTGGATTTACCTATGTCAAGTTTATTTAACAGACTAAAGACATCGGGGTTTTAAATGGTCACGCTATCCAGTGTATGTGTGGGAGGATTTGTATGCGCTGAAAGGAAGGGTGGTTTTATGGTATATACATTGCTAAAGTGGTTTGAAAACAATTGAGCCTTACTAAAGTCGTCCTCCACTAATGATGCGGCGGTAATATCTCCTCATAGTGCAGGAATACTTTCTCTTCTTTTTGTCCTTGGGTTTATATAGGAATACAAGCGTCTAGGGCATTCTATGGATTCCTTAACAATTCTTTTCTTCGTACAACTTTACAGACTTACGGAGGTTCGGAACACAGGTATTCTGAGCTTTTCGATACTGAGATTTTGTCTCGCCAGTCCCCCTCCTTATTGAGCCATGGTGGAGAGTTTTTCGGCCCCCTTGGTATAGTCCAAGGGATGTGGGGTGCGGTAACTTTTAAGTATAAATTTCGAAATAAGACGCGACCCCTAATACTTTGAATGAAACAGATTGAGTTGAAGTAAAAAAAACTAATCTTGATGCTTGATGAGCGATTGAAACTCAAAAATTAACTTGGTGGTGTAGAATATCATGGTAAAGCTTACCGAAATAGCGGGTTGAACGACAAACCACTCCAATACCAGACGGTCGTCCCCAACGGCCTTGACTTTGTAGCGGTAAATAAATCCCCAAAATCAATAGCTCTATAGGTCTTCGACATTTGATACCAACCACATTAGTTTTAATGGACTCACCTAGCTGAAGGCGCTCGGTCACGCATCCGCACCAGATCACGAGTGGAAACGAAATGTCGTGCTCAACTTTTCCTGCAATCACTAGCCAGTCTAGACCAGTCGATTCTCGATGTATTGATAGTCTATCATATATATCTTCGTACCTCCTTGCTTCTGACTTTTGATTTCACTAGGCGTGTACGATTCATAGTAGGTGTTACTGGCTAGAACGTTGTCAAACTTCAACTTCAAGATTAACGGTGGGCTTTGGAAATTTAAATTATCCGTGAGCAGAATCGAGTGTGTAGGACTACATGTTTTTCAGGTATTCTGATATTTACATAATCTGTTGATGTTCGAAACCGTCACGCTTTTTCTTCATAGCACAGATTACTCTTTTTGTTGCTTTTCAGTGGATATCTAAATTTAGTTACTGCCTCCACACTTTCCGAAAACCATAGGTTGGCTAGTTCTTCTGGAGAGCCTTGAAAGGGTAACTAGCATGAATAAATACAAATATATCAGGTTTCGAAAGTTTACAATCGTCCTATTTTTGAAGTTGAAGTAAAAATGTCTGAAAATCCATGAGTTTGTATCTGACCTTCCCTTCAAGATTCAGATTCGGATTTATGCTTCATTACAGGCTGTACCAACTGATTTTCGTATTTACAATGAGCTGCGTGAATTGTGCATATACACTGTGACATTCCTT